TTTTATAATTTAATTTATATGATTTCTTAACTACAGCTTCTTTTTCCAATTGATATACAGCACGAATGTTTTCAAATTTAGCATTCTGAATAATATCATTATTGTCAAAATTAGGATATACAAAAGTTTTGTCTAGGTTTTTTAAATTAATCCAATTATTTCTGATACTCTTGAAAATATGCACAACATCATAAGTTAAATATATGTTCTTATCAGGATTATGTGGATTTGGAATAGAATAATTTTCTGATGAATCCTTTGCTAATTTCCTGAACATTGCTCTATTAATTCGGTGATTATCAGTAACAACACAATTAACTTCAAATCCACATTTTTGAACTAAATTTATCACATGTTCAACCAAAGGTGTCATTTCATCACCTGTTAGATTTGAAACTGGTAGTAATTTGATAATTTCTGTTATGTTTCCAAATGCTGAAGATAGCATGAAGGCTAAAACAGTTTTAGCCATGTCATTTTTATTTGAGGCATACCCAACAATGTTTTGTGACCGATAGTCCAGCCTAGATGTTATATAAATTTCATCGATCATCAAAATTACAATTTTTTCTCTTGGAGCTAATTTAATTGCTATATTCGAAAGGTAGTGTTCATTATTCCTATCATCTTTTGGAGATATATCCATACTTGAGGAGATATGTTGTAAGTATCGCTTACTTGGCAAAATAAAAAATCTTTTAATTAAATTATATGTTGATGATGAGTGGTTATAAAACGTAAAAGCCATTATTATTGAAAGTGATGCATATCTGTTTTTCCTGTTTTCAATTTGTCTAAGCTGATCAGCAATAATCTCTAGATTTTTTGTATATGGAAACATAACTGAGTCATTATTAATTATGGAAATCGCTATGTCAAGTTGTTCCAATGCATTCATGATGCAAACTTCAACAGAGTTTTTGTGTTGCTTCTCAGAAAAATAGAAAAAATACCTATTTAGCAGGTTTTCTAATTGGGACCATCTGGTAATTTTGAGATCATATGGCAAAACCCACTTCAAGTCACTAAAAGAAAGCTTACATCCTTTATGAACAACCTGAACTTCCATCTGACCATCAACTATAATCTGTGTATTCAAAGTTAAGATATCATTTTCAAAATCCAATTTATAAAAATATAGCTTTCCATCAGATAATTCATTATTCCATTTCTGTGAGGCTTTAATTTTTTAAAATGAAGAATGTAATTCTTGAAAGTCTTTGATCTTATCCATATCATCGAAATTCTGGATAGCTTTTTCATGTTTCTCAATTAATTTTTGTTTACTTTGCATTGGGTCAGTTCTTTTGGGTGCTTCAGTTTTTGAAAGATATGATGGCAAGTTTGGGAAAATGGAGGGAGCAGCATTTTCTTTCAATTTTGGATATTTCAAAGGTATATTATTTTGGACTGTTCCATCCGCCAAAACTATATTTTCTGTCCTGATGATATCCGATTCTCTAAAATGACGACTGCACACAGCTGAATATTTTGAAGGTGTCCAATTTTTTCTGGGAATTGCCATAAGCCATTTGTTTTTCAGACTTTCGGTACTTGGGAAGCGAAAAGTTGAAACATAGCTTTCTGTTTTCAAAGCAGAATTATAGTTTGCATTGCATAAAGGAACACAGCAACAACGAGGCATATTGTCTGCGTCAAATGCTTGATAAATGAAAAAAGAAAAATACAACCTGAATTTGCACGTTTTCAATAGTTGAAATCCTTAGCTTCCTGAGGCGCGAACAGCCACTGTCACACTTCTTAGTTTATTTTTAAAGCACAGAAGCACTACAACTGGAGTCTATTTCTCATATATTATAGTCACCGATCACTTTGAACACATACACACACTTTGAAGCTTAGAAAACAAGCTTATCTCTTAATTACAGCCTCTTGGATTCCCAAATCACAAATTGAAAAGGTTATGTTTTCTCAGCGTTTTGAGCACGAGTTACGTCGATGCAGCAAGCAGCGGCGGGAGTAACACTACTACCTACGTTGCCAGATTTCTTTGTTCACGGCTTGTAGTTGACGTCGGCTGTGCTGTGACAATACTACCTACAGTCTGAGTACGAAATTCTTGGCAGTGACTCACCTGTGTTACCTAGGGCAGCGGTAGAAGGCGGAGGGAGGAGGGGTATTGTGCGTGCGAACTAATTTTTATAAAAGGTGTCAATATACAGGCTGAGTTGTAATGTCACGTATTCCTGATAAGGGGTGATAAATTAGGTCAAAAGCAACCGATTTTTGTCCTATAATGTCCTATCCAGAAGTTAACCGTTTTTGAGTTATTTGAATTTTATTTTTTTATTCCGATTTCAGACGGTTACATTTGAATTACAAAAAAACTCCATGTTTGATTTTGAGTTTTTTGTTATCGTCGCATAGCGGATATTCCAATAGTTCATAATAAGTAATAAAATGTTGAAAACCTACCAAACTTTTAAAATTACGCTTTTGAAATGTATGATTTTCTTATTTTTTTACTAACTTATTCGATAAAAAATGCAATTTTCTGTAAAAAATCTCCTAGTAATGAAATGTGCAAATTATGTAAATAATATCTCTATCTAACAAGCTTTCATTTGAGGTATAAAAGTTACAACTAACTCAAGTACAAACACATAAAATTAAAAAAAGATGAGTAAAGTTGTACGAACGATAATTACGTAGTAGGATAAATAAAAGGCTTTTATTTTAATTGCAGTTTTATTTAATTACATTTCCTTTAGTATTTTACAGATTCTGCTCAAATTGTAATCCCCTGTTATGAATACACGCCCGCATTCTCTTACGTAATTCACTTTTGGTAACTCTAGTTGTAAAGCGGCTTTTTAGCTTTTTATTTGGTCAGCTGCACTGATTATCCTGAACATCGTACGCCAGGCTTTTCATATGTCATCTGTAAAATACTAAAGGAAATGTAATTAATTAAAACTTTAATTAAAATAAAAGCCTTTTATTTATCCTACGTAATTATCGTTCGTACAACTTTACTCATCTTTTTTTAATTTTATGTCTTTGAACTTGAGTTTGTTGTAACTTTTATACCTCAAATGAAAGCTTGTTAGATAGAGATATTATTTACATAATTTGCACATTTCATTACTAGGAGATTTTTTAAAGAAAATTGCATTTTTTATCGAATAAGTTAATAAAAAAATAAGAAAATCATACATTTCAAAAGCGTAATTTTAAAACTTTTCTAAGTTTTCAACATTTTATTACTTATTATGAAATATTGGAATGTCCGCTATGCGACGGTAACAAAAAACTCAAAATCAAACATGTATTTTTTTGTATTTCAAATTTAACCGTCTGAAATCGGAATAAAAAATAAAGAAAATAAAATTCAAGTAACTCAAAAACGGTTAACTTCTGGATAGGACAGTATAGGACAAAATCGGTTGCCTTTGACCTATAGTAATTTATCACCCCTTAACAGGAATACGTGACATTACAAGTATATAATAGCGCAGTATTTCATTTATATTCATTAATTTAACCAGATGTTTAACAGTGTAACTATGAAGATATTAGGATAAATTTGGGTAATTTGTACCATTATGATTTGTAAAAACACAAAAACAAAATTATATTAGAATCTAAAAATCAATGCTTATTCAACATCGGAGTCATCAGTTGACGAATCAAAGTCGTCGCTATTTAACTCAATAACAACTGGTTCAACAATAATGTCTATGTGAGTATCCAGATCCCACATTCTTTATTCCACATTGATGACATGCTGTATAGATGTTTGCCAGTTCTCCCTGGATACGTTGTTGACGGCATTTTGTAACATTAACTTGACATCCGCTAACTTGGAGGTTGTATTACTCAGTTGGATTCAGTTTCCAATGATAGGGTGGTAAACTGTAATCGGTGTTCATATTTAGTTCACATATCTTCAGCCACTTTGCGAATCCACCTTCATTGTAAAGAGGCACAGTTACGCTTAAGAAATGCTATTTTTTGTTTTTTTTTTATTATGAAGCAGTTTGTTTTCATCATCACTCGAATCGATATCTGAGATCCAATCGGATTCTGACCTTGAACTATATAAGAATCTGATATTTCTGTGAGCAATTCAAACACAATAAAAAACTAGTTCACATCAAATTTTATAAAAACGATTCTCTGGCTTCAACCTTTTCAATTGATAAAAACTATTCAAAGTTGCAATGAAACTAAGAAAGACCTAAATTCACCAACACATTTAAGAAACCATAACCCAAAATCATAAGGCACCCTTAACAAAACAAGATCTTGAGCAATCTGCGCATGTCAGAAACCACGAGTCCCGTCAAAATCCTGTGTGCTGTTTTGACCATCCGAAACCAGTTTTCAACTTCCCCAACTAGGTTTTACTCTTGCTTGAACATGTTTTCTCCACTGCGCACGGTCAGTCGGTTTCAAACCGTTGGAAATGTAATGCTAGAACATTACTTTTATTTTTATCAACACATTTCACAGTCAGTTTAAAGCCTTTGTACTGTTATCATAATAACAATACAGTGGACCCGCGGTAATCCGACAAACATTTTGCAGGGCGAAGTCGGATTATTGAATTTGTTGGAGTCTAGAGTATTGCTTAAGACCCTCTATAGTCCGGATTTTTTTTAATAAGAGTACCTTGCAATCCGACAAATTACAAATCAAAGAATCTATTTGAACTAATCATAGTACATAATTATGTATATGTATAATATGTATGTGGAATGGAGAGATAATATTTTATTATAAAAATATCATCCGGGCTAAAGAGTAGTTGACATGAATGTTTTGATCGTTTTAATGTCATAAATTGTAGATCGACCTACAGGGATTTATTACGATTTAAGCGTTCCAAAATGTCGTTTTTTTCTTCAATTGTCGGTGTTTTGTACTTACGCTTTTGGGCTTGTGAAGACATTAATAAACAAAGGCCAAGGCGAAAGTGCTTGCCAAGATCATTGCTGCCAACTCCACCATGGACGCCCACACCCCCAACGGCTAAGTGCCGTCAATTCAAAGGGTTCCCTACACTATGTGGGAGGTAACATTCAGGCATAAGACCGTAAGACGGGTGCTCTTGTCGCTCGGCATCAACAAAACTTCTGGTCCGGCCTTGATTCCTGGCATTGTACTGAAGAGGTGTGCAGCGGAGCTTGCTCCAGTTCTTTCGTGTCTCTTCCAGATGTCTTATGAATCCGGCACGTTCCCAGAAAACTGGAAATTTGCTCATGTCCAACCGAACCCAAAAAACGGATCTAAGACCGACCCTTACAACAGCAGGCCTATAGCTCTGCTTTCTGTTATAAGTAAGGTGATGGAGAGGTGCATAAATCGCGAGCTCCTGGACTACCTCGAACGTCACAGCTTAATTAGCGACAGGCAGTATGGGTTCCGGCATTCTATGGCCTCCCAGAAAAGCTTTGCAGATGGGTGTCTGACTTTATCTCTGGCCGCAAGATATCGGTCTTAATTGACATGTTCTCCTCTTCATCCCAAAACGTCAACGCGGGTGTTCCCCAGGGATCGGTCTTGGCTCCGACACTGTTCCTCTTACATATCAACGACCTCCTTTCCTGCACGATCAACCCAATCCACAGCTTCGCTGATGACAGCACTCTACATGCAGGAATTCAGAGTGACACGCCGATCTCTGCTGCTGAGTTGGAAAACAGAAGACTAGCGACGACTTCCTCTCTGACAAGAGACCTGGAGACGATCACTGCTTGGGGACGCAACAATCTTGTACAGTTTGATGCTTCCAAAACACAGTACTGTTCTTTGACGAACAAGAAGCAGCCTAGCGCTCATCCGATTTCGATGGATGGCCGAGTTATGCCAAAGAGCCATACATTCCGGCTGGTCGGAGTCCAGATCACCGAAGACCTGATCTGGCACGAACACATCTCGTCAATAGCGGCAGCTGCTGGGAAAAATCTAGGCTATTTGTTTAGGGCTAAGAAGTACTTTTCTCCGCATGACCTTCTCACTCTATACAAGGCCCAGATAAGGCCTAGCCTCGAGTATTGCTCACAGGTTTGGGGTGCTGCCGCCCCAACTACATTATTTATGCTCGATGCTGTCCAGAGAAGGGCGATCCGACTGATCGATGACTCTTCTCTAACAGACAGTTTCGGAACTCTTTCACACCGGCGGGGCGTCGGCGATCTAGCTCTTTTCTACCGCTACACCAACGGGCTTTGCTCTTCAGAGCTCTCTTCCATGATGCCGTCGCGCGATGTGCCTGCCAGACAGACCCGCCTGACTTTGGCGTCCCATCCTAACCGTGTCGAACTTCGTACATCCAGAAGTGGCCGATACAACCGCTCCTTTGTCCCTAGGGTGTTGAGATTGTGGAACAGTTTACAAGAGGAAGCTTTTCCCAGTTCTACTAACGTTAGGTAGTTTAAAAATCGTATTGACAAAATTTCTTTGGGTTCATCTTAGCAGTCGCGGTGTTCCAGCATTTAGGCTTCTACCTGCGCGGCTGCTTCGATATAAAAGAAACAATGATCGCTTGCTAGGCCGTTATTACATGTATACAGCCAAATTCAAACTGAAACAATACGCGTCGAGCACAATAGTGGTAGCGCGTGTTTTGTTACAACCCATCCAATCATGCATTATTTTAGTGAAGATTTGCCGAAATTTTTATGTACAATCAATAGTGATTCGGTTTAAAGGCGGCTCCGGGTTAGACAGGGTTCGGATTACACTGTATTGTAATAACTTTGGAAAAATAAACTGTTTAATAAAGCGATCTCGAGGCATCTATCTTTTAATTGGCGTAGTCATCCAGAAGGATTAGGATTACGCGCCTCGGGAAAGAATCTCGCATACCGTCGCGACGGGACTTTTCAGGACTCTATCCTCTCTTTTGTACTTGGTGGCATTCTTGTAGGGGCAGTGAACACTGGAGTGGATTCGTATGTTTGGATTCATCACCGAGGAACCGAAGTGACTAGCTACATACGAGGGGCACCGAAATTTGTTACTTTTAGTACTCTGGTATTTAGGCTTTGTGTTCGGAAACGCTTGAGTTCGTTTGAAGTGCATGGGTCAATATACATGATCGTTTGTTGTCTTCGAACTAGCTGGATAGATATTGAAATATATTTTCTCTTCAGGTGCGACGAATGTCAGAAGAATTATCACTTTTGTTGTTTGGACCCACCTTTGAAGAAAAGTCCTAAGAAGAGAGGATACTCATGGCATTGTGCAGACTGCGATCCCACGGTATGTATAATGGATATGATTACCTTTCGGTTTTATAGAATCTTGCTTTGTTTCAGGGCTCTGAGTAAAGTCTGTATTTACACTTGAGTGTAAAATCGCATTTTTTTTTCATAAGAAATGAACTGTGACTATATCAATACAGAATAAAGTATTAATTGATAGAAGCGTTTTCTTTATAATTATCCTCCATAGAGTAGGTCATAAATTTCTTAGCATTCTAAGAATTATACACATGGTGTTCCCTGAGAAAATGCACAGAGAAATCGCAGGTAATGTGGACCGTATGTATCAACAAAAAGGAAAAGGAGGTTCTCATTTTTTATGGATATACAGGGTGATTTATCTAGAACTCTGAAAGATTGAGAAATTTTGACTCACTGTTATTACTATGTCAGGGACGAAAAAACTATCCAGTTTTAACAATCGATCCAGGCTCTACGATTGAAAAAAACGAAAAAACAAACATTAGCTTGAACTTCATTTTTGACGTTTTGTGGTTCTTGTAGGTTTTTTGGAAAGATTTTTGAGGAGTGAATCAATTTTTTTAACGTTAGTATATGTAACCCCGGTAATTCTAATCTACCCATCTAGATAGTCATCCGCAACGATAATAGAAGATGAACCTGTGTTGTACTGGTGGCTGGCGAGGCTTACTGACCGCAAGTGCGATCTCAACGTTGTCGGATAGTCGCTAGGGCAGAGGAAAAATTTCTTTGTCATACATGTTCGTGGTTGACTTTTGTCTCAGCTCTGAAGTATGTATATCGTGCCCTTACTGTAACAACTAGATAACTTGAAATAAGAGATTTTGTGAAAATACGACTTGAAGATTAAATTCGCAAAAAAATTCTACTCTTAAGAAATCGACAATATTAATTAGCTATATACACAGATTTTGCACTGAACTATGACTTGTAAATCTATTAATAAGACAGGTTATGTGTTTTCGCAGAATTTGGTGATTTACTTGAGATAGCTAGTTGTTGCCGGAATATCTGTTCAACAAAATTGGAGTTATCTATCTTTAGGAGCTATAAACTAAACCCGAATCCCCTATAAAAACAGCTTTAGTTTTATTTATTTATTTATTTATGTAATAGGCAAATAAGTCATGTCACCGACATCACTCGTCACTGACATCGCTATCAGAAACATCTTAGAAAGGAAGATTTTCATAAAAGGGCTTATACTCACTAAGAAGTGCTGGAGGATTCATTATAAATAATGACATTAAAGCGTCGCACTTTGCTTTCTTGATAGGTAATTGCCTTTTGTACAAAAGCTGTAAATTAATGTTTGTCAAGGATATACGAGTTCTACGATTACAATTTAGCTGTCTAAACTCCTCATCAAAATCTTCCTTGAAGTTAATAACAAAAGGTGTCGATTTAGAAAATCTTAACCAGCGCATTCTCTGCCAGCTAACCAGCTTTCGGGCTTCATCTGCTTTTCGAAATATAAATCTTCGATCGGCGTAAGTCTTCCAGTCTAGAATTTGCTCATGTGATACATCGTGAGCAAAATATGGGCTATCACTCTTGCGTCTTGCACAGCGAGTTACAGTTTTCCAATCCATAGGCCAGTTCACTTTTCCAACCCGTTTTACCTCTGTTGATATGGCAGCATGCATTGAATCGCATTCCATCTCACTGTGACCAACAACAAGAAATTTCAGATCAATGCATTGCACGTGTGGAATTTCCTGGACAGCAGTTAAACACATAGCTGCCACGTATTTGTTGAGATTTTGTCCTCCACACTTATCGCTATAGCAAATAATGTGCTCAACATCAGCTGGCAATGATTTGAAATAGTTGTAAAGATGAGTAGCTATTTCACAGCTTCCGCGACGATCCTCAACTTCACTCCACATGTAGTAGTCACCTTGTTTAGATACAACATTATAGATTGTAAAATTGAAGCACTTCAAACGTGTTATATAAAATAGTCCATTATTAGATGGGTCATAGGGCACCATAAGAACTTGTTGGAGGTCAAAATTGCAGCATAAAACTTTTTTGTTGGAAGTTTCAGCTATTTTCTTGTCGGACCTTTTTTCCTCACGGGCCTTATCCTTGGCAACTATGTGAGCTTGATAATTTGCCTCTATAAACTCTGTTTTAATACTACCAGGGGTATTGTAATTCATACATGTGCGGCACTGATCTTTTCGTGAACAAAAAAAGCCCAGGTTATATTCTTCACAAAATATCTTTCTATACATTGACGAACTTACAAAAGGAACATTTTTGTCTACACAATCCTGTTTATACATTGCGTAAATTATGGTAATATTAAGTTCAGGCGCTAAGTACTTCCTCTGGGTTTTTTCACGACAATAATGTGAGGCCATGACTGGAAAGCTTTCGATATGACCCCTTACACCTTGTAATGCCTCGGGAGATGTGGCTTTTTTTGGTCCTTTGCCGCGGTTATCCTGTGAACTGATATTTTCTTCCTTTCGGTTTTGCATTGCAACGTCCAACACTCCTTTTCGGATTCCCAGTGTATTTATAAACATCGTTTTACAAACTTGTTTCTTTCCTTGACTGGTAGGCAAAAAAAGGTAATCGTACTTTGGCGCTTAGAATTTTCTTTAGTAGTACATTTTTTTTTAATTTTCTCCGTGTTGCTGTGTATAAAATCCCTTTTCCGTACATATGATTCAAGACGATAGTATGTCCGAAATATCTTGAGTCTGTCATCGTTGGTTACTTTGTCACTGCATTTGCGCCTACACTTTGATGTGCACGGATCTTTCATGGAAACTCCGGGAACGTATTTGCCTCTACTGGAAACGTAACATTCGCCATGTTGTCTTCTTCGTTTTGAAATATTTCTTTTCCATTGATTCGGATTCTTCTTCCTTTTTCTAGTTTTTTCGGACCTTGTGGGAGTTTCTTCCATACCATCAAGCTGCGCCTCTTTGTTGGTGGTTAGGTTTTCAGGAAGTAACTGCTCCTCAGATGTTTCACTTGACGAACTTGGACAGTATTCTGAATGGTCGGAAGACAAGGGTTCTACATCTGATTCTACAATATTTGTAGATAAAGGCGAACGTGGAACCGGGGTTCTGGGGTCATTAGTACCTGAAACAATATATGGCATTTAAAAGAACAGCTGCCATATTTAGAAATATGGATAAAATCAATGAATTATACAATTAAGTGATTACATAACCTCACTTTTTAAGCTAAAGACCATTATTTGTATTTTTGACTATTTCGTGGCATACCTGAGATGTTTTCTGATTGCCTTCGTAGAATATCCAGTATTTTCTTCCCTCTTGAAGTTATTTTTTGTGTTAACACTAGTCAAAAAACACTGAATAACTGGCTAGCAACACTAAAACGCACCTGTTGATTCAGACACACAACTAGATATCTCACACAGTCCAAGAAGGTGTAGATGGATAACTTCGTAATATGAATGCAACAACTGGGTATCTTTAGATGTCTAGTTAAAGCATGTACATTTTGCTTGTTTTGAGAGTTATATATTTTTTACCACTCTATAAACAGAATTTCATTGCTCCTAGGAGATATCCAGTTGTTGCATTGGAAAGAGTATATAAAATAGGTTAGTTCTAAGAAGATAACTCAAAATAACCAAATTTCAAGTTATCTAGTTGTTGCACTAACGGGACGATATGATATTTGGAGGTCATGAGATTTATAAGTTTTTATTTGATTCAATAAGCAGTGTTAATCATAATTATACTATGATAATGATTTGTACTGCTTTTTGTCCAAGTAAGTTTACATATTTCGTGTTAATCCGCTGTTTTCAGAGTAGCAGGGTTGGTATGCAAAGCTTACTGTAATTTCAATAAAATCGAAGCTATGCTGAACATCGGGAATCTCTAAATTATTTTAAATTCATTTACTAGGATTGAAAATAAATTGAATATTGAGATCTCTTGATAATTGATAGTCAACATAAAATATAGATTCAATTTCGCAAAATCCACTTGGGTTATTTTGAATCTTGTGCAAGGTGTAATATTGAGAATGGTGTTACTGCGAGAAAACTCAAAATTATCAAATATTTGCAAATAAAAAAATAAACGTGTCCAAATTGTGTGTGTGTGTTACCTCCTGGACTCTAAATGTTGTTTTTGGACAATAATATGAGCGTTCACAGAAAGGTCAAGGTTCAACAACGGAGTTTCTAGAGGTTGGGCTAAATGTATTTACCATATGTTTCTTATGGAGCGCCATGGTGCCGCCGATCATCATCGAACAGTAACGGAGTCTCCTGGTGCTCGATGGTCCACTTCTATGCGGCGTTGACATATATATACTAAGTGACATATAAATCCGAACACCCAGTTTAAATGGTTTTATTTTAATAAAATTTTGTATAAGTACTTAATGAAGCATAATAAGTAAATGATAAA